TCAAAGCATCACTGTGACCTGGATCTGTTCTCCTGGTTTTCCCCACATTTATTCCCTATCACAGTCACACATATAACGTTAATCATCTAATCAATCCTTACATAAAATCAGGTAAACATATACTTACAGCAATTCGACAACTTGAGCAGCAGAACTTTACATGAGGGATACTGTCATCAACTCTCATAAATGTTTGACTCCGCAATAGAAAACGTCTTAAAACACCCCTTTTTAAAGTAACAAAATACTAGCTCTGATACCAAATGTAAAACCCCTTCTCCAGTCAGGTATCCTCTGAATATCCCTTAATGAGAATCTCAGTGATACATGTCCGGAGAACGAGTTGTATTTAGAAAAAATCTGTGTAAGGACAATAATAATAATATCCAAAACATGCATATAAAATGTCACACAGGATCCAAACTTATAATTCAGAAACTTTAAGAATTTATCCGGAAATTACACAATCAAAACATATTTATCGGGTGGAAGCTTCCAAAGGTGTTTCACAAACATTTATCATTTACATTATTTACATCAAGATGACAATAAATCATCTCCCCTCAGGTGTAGCCCCGCTGTCTCTAGCATCCTTCGCTTCTGGTCTACCTACAAAACAATCAACAATGAAAGAGTGAGCGCTAATCGCTCAGTAAGCAATGATCTATTGCATTCTAAATATGCTATTTGACCCTCATTTAAACATATTTGTTAACACACCACTTATCTTTTACATCTAGGGATACTTTCCTTTTTCTTTTTTTTTTTTCCTTTATATTTCATATGTCTTTCATCATTTTATCCCATAGCTATATAAACATCAATGCATACACATACAAATAAGTATGTAAACATAGTACACACACATTACATGTCATGATATAATATCTAAACAGCATCTAACATGATTATAAATCATCTCTTGATGTAAATAACATCATAACTCATGTAATGCAACTAAATGCATATGAAACATTTAACGTCTAGCCGATCGGACCTTTCTTAGCATCTTAAGCACTTCATATCATCTAGCCTCAAATTTCATCTAGAGCTCATATCATCGGGAGGCGTGCTTACGCGTTATTTAGCATCTAAAGCATATATTCATCTTTCCTCAACCGGTATACGAGGATATGCTTACGCGTTTTCCATCATGTCTATATGCATCTCTATCATGTCTATTTGCATCTCTAACATCTTATGGCATGTAAATACATATTTTGGTGAGCTTAATACTTTTAATTCATCTATGGATTATCAATCCATTTACATTACCTCTTGCTCACATACATCATCTTAAAACATGTATTATATTGCATCTTCATGCCATTTCATAACATTAATCATGTATTGACATCATGACCATGTATATCTTTCAAAGATCATCTAACTAATGGGTAAACATTAGTACATGGCATAATTACAATAATACATTAATAATCAATTCATAATCATAAGAATTGATCATGTTAAATCTTAAACTTTAATAACTATTTTATATTTCATGCCATTTTCCATCCATTTATCAATCGAATTGGCTCTTGGTATAAATATAAAAGTTATAGGGCTATGTCTTAACTTTCTAATGCTTCAAGAATCATCTCATTTTGATTTTTATAACTCAAGTTATGATCAAAATACTGAAGCATATTTAACATAACCACTAAGCTTACTAAATCCGAATTTTTCATATTAATTATGCCACATCAATTCCTATTGACAATTAACCAATAGGTCAACTTATGGATCAAATAAACCTCCTCTTAATAGTTTTTAACATCTTAAAGGAAGTGTCAAATCTCACTCCCATAATCATGCATTATTGATATAACATTGTAAGCTAATGCAAACAACACCTCAACACTTCTAATAGCAACCATTCAACACCATGTGGCCTCCAATACTATAAGTTTTGCCACAATCAGCATCCACACTTCATTTTCTCCAATTAAACATAATAACTCATAAAACATAAATAGCAATAACTTCATGTATAATGAATTCAAGGCAATAAGTATAATAAATGAGTCCAACCCTTCAAATTGGAGATCTAAGGCTCCTATCTTGTTCTTCTTGAAAAATTATGCAAAAGTCCCTTAAAACTTAGAGCAAGAAAACTTGCTTCATGGAAGATTTGAGAGAAAATGGAAGAAATATTGAAGAAATGCTCTCTCCCTTAGCTTGAACAAATTTCATCTCATTTATAGGAAAATATTTCATTAGTTTTCCAAAACTATCTATTGGCCCAATAATTTTAATTGTATAACTCATAAGTCCTTAATTCTTCATATAAGGGCATTTTGGTCATTTCACACTAGACATAATTATTACTTAATTAATTCCATTAAATGCAATTAAGCCTACTCATCCTTGACTTTTTTAATGCTTATCCATAGGCAAAACGACTATTTTGCCCTTAATACCTTTCTATGGATAATTGATTCATACCATTCCAAATGAATTGACTATTTTGCCCTTAGTTAGATTTTATGCTTTTTAACATAAAATTAACATCTAAATGACTATTTTGAGTTAGGAACATACCTTTGATATCTTGGGACTATTTTGAGTTAGGAACATACCTTTGATATCTTGGGTATTACAAGTTGGCGGTGGTCTTGGGTGGCTATGGATATTTTGTTAACTTTTAAACTTTTTTGTGGCTGGGGCGTTTTAGCTAATTTCTCAAATGTAGGGGGCTAGGTAATTGTTATTTGGTAGACATTTGAAAGCAATTGTGTTTGAAATGTTATTTAATTAAGGGTAAAATAGGTATAAAAATTAGATTACCTGGTAATCTTTTAATCCCAAGGGTGGGGGCATTACCCTCTACATTACCAACAGTAAACACTATTTGCAATAAAAGATTCCTGTAATATTTTATTACTTGCAAACCAAAAACCAAATTCTTGTAAAATAAACGAAGATTATCCTGTCATCTTATATGTCCCGATCCAAACGCACCCATAAAGATATAAATATTAAATTTATCTTTTATCTCATCCATTTTTGTCTTAAGTCAATATGTAGCTTATATAAAAGGTTTGATAAAAGTTATCTACGTACATAGAGTAAGAGAGAGTACGTTCCATATATATATACACAACAGAATAGAAGTGTTTTTCCTTTTAATTATTAATGATGTCATTTTCTTTTTTTTTTTTAAATAAAATTTTTTCAGTCCTTGTCTAAATTTATATTAGAAAGAAAAGGTAATAATCCCAAAAATAAAGGGTTAATACCAATTTCACCCCGTGAAACTAACAAAACTAACACATGTATTCTAAAAAGTCCAGAAAGGCAGAAACTCTACTACAGTAAAACCTCTCTATAGTAATACTCTATATAGAAATAAACTTTACATAGTCATAAAAAATTTTAGTCCCAATTTAGGATAGTTGTAAATAAAAATAAACTCCACATTGTAATAAGCTATAATTTTTCTAATTCCTGTCTTAAGGAAAGTTGCCTCCACATAATAATAATTATCTTTATATTGCAAAAAAAAATATGCTACGCTACATTAAAGGTTTAAAATGAAATAAAATATTTATCTAAAGTTGTTTGGGGCAATGATTTATGCTTTAAAGTTGTTACGACACTTTTTAACCCGTAGGTATGTAATAATTCGTTAGCATAGACATCTTATTAAAACCACAATATTTCTAGCTTTTCAAGTATGTTTAGAGCTTCATGGTACGAAACTTTTTGTATTTCTATACTATCATCCTTGGGATTATTTCATTTCTCTTATTGTCTAATTGCAGCAATGATTTCTTCTTCAGTTAAAGCATATACGACTTGTTGCTCATTTGGATGATCGAGGAAGACATTATTATGCATTTGATTAATGTAGTGAAGTTGTCGAATCTGATCACTCAATTCTGCAATGAATCTTTTATTTTCCACATCCACTTCATTTGTAACTTGCAATTCATCGACACCGGGGGTCCTAATTGTGCAATGCTTAAAACAATTGACAATTGTCTATGGTTTCACATCAATTGATCATGCAGCAACTGCATTTACAATTTAATTAAGGATACTTTTCTTTTTTGGTTCTAATACATGATCTTCTATCCGTTTCAAAAATAGGCGATTAAAACGCTGACTATAATAACCTTTGAAATTTCTAATGATGCCTACATCACACAGCTGAATTTTGGAAGTACTCGCTGGTGGTAGGAACAGAACAGTTGTGTGATACTAATACTAATATCAATACTACTAAAGCAATTAATTGAAATCCTAATACACACTATTAAAATATGAATTATAAAATAAGAAATCAAAATATTAATTTTTGTAACTATACCTCTATTTAGTTATAACCTCCTTATAGTAATAAATTAGTTTGATCCCACTATTATGACTATAGAGAAATTTTACTGTATATAAAACTTTTGTCGTAAATTTTGGCTATTAACTTAGATGTTGACTTTGTTTGACCGTGAAATGCCCTAATTATTAACAGCAAAAATTAACAGCAGAGGCTCTGTATGGTAGTTTTTGGACTTTTTGGGGTGTTTCAGTTTCTTGAATTTCAGGAGTGAAAAAATATTAACCCAAAATAAAAGCGTGCTGCCACTCCAAGTCCAATTAATTTGGACACCCTACAGCCTATTTCGCACTCAGCCAATCCACAAATTATAAACGAAAACAAAAACAAAATTAATGCTCTAATTAAGGTTATGGGATAGAATTGAGTTTTCTATGGCTTTAGATTTACCTCTATTTTCTGTTAAGTCTACCCGTTTCATTGATTTTTACAACCTTTATCCTGTATCGCCATGTACTTATTCTAAACCGTAGGGTGTCATAAAATTTATCCCTAAAAACAATAATATAAATAAATGAGCAGCCATTCTAAGTCTTTAACTTGCATTCAGTCGACCCATTTTCCTTTACTTTTTCATTCCCATAAATCACGCTAAAATTTCTTTTTATTTTCAACAGTCCCTCTATTTTTACGTTATTATTTTCCTACGCGTGCTTGTTGCTTTACCTTACAAATACACGCTTTACATAGATTTTTGTGTTAATTCCATGTCTCCATCTCCGTATCTTCACCCACCTACCACATTCCAAATTCTGCTTCTTGATTTGCTCAACTCAATTCGGTTTGCGCTCAAATTCAACTACTCTTCGTTTCTATGTTGGGGTTTGTTTTGTTTTTGTGATCAAGTTTTGGAAGAATGCTTGTGAAATGGTAACCGATTTGGGGTTTTTTGTCGAGGATTTTAATGGGTTTTACTCATTTGGCGATATCGGTTGATCACTAAACTCAAGGTTTGAGCTTTCGTTTTATATTATGTGCTTAACTCAGTTCTTTAGGGTTTTCTGTACTGCAATTGGTTTTGTTCTGAAGAATTGGGTACATTTGGTTTTACTTTGTTTTGGGATTTATTTATTTTTATTTTTCTTTGTGTAGGTTTTGTTGTTGAAGGAATGTATTTGAGAGAATTTTGGTTCTTGTAAAGTATATTGTGTTGTTTTGTTGGATTTTGCAAGATGAAGAGAAGTAAAAGTGAGGCCAGTAGTGCTAGGAGGTTTAGGTTGTCACATTTGTTGTTTGCTATAGGCATATTATACTTAGTTTTTATAGCGTTTAAATTCCCACATTTTTTGGAGATTGCGGCTATGTTGAGTGGAGATGATAATTATGGTGGTTTGGATGGAAACATGGGGGATAATGTGGATTCGGATTTGGGTAAGCCTTTTTTTAGTTCTGTTTATAAAGATGCATTTCACCGGAAACTAGAAGATAATGAAAATCAAGAGGCACCGCTGATGCCAAGGGAAGTGCTTCTGGAGAAGGGAAAAGGTGGGTCGAAACCTATAAAGCCACTTCAGTTTCGATATGGTCGAATAACGGGTGAGATTATGAAGCGAAGGAATAAGACTAGTGAGTTGTCAGTGCTTGAGAGAATGGCAGATGAGGCATGGACAATAGGACTGAAGGCTTGGGAAGAAGTGAATAAGGTTGATGTGAAGGGGATTGTTAAGAGTGATGTTTATGAGGGAAAGCCTGAGTCTTGTCCTTCTTGGATATCTATGAGTGGAGAAGAGTTGGCAAGTGGGGATAGGTTAATGTTTCTTCCTTGTGGGCTTGCTGCTGGATCTTCTATTACAGTGGTGGGAACACCTCACTATGCTCATCAAGAGTTTGTGCCCAAGCTTACAAGGATGAGGAATGGTGATGGGATGGTTAAGGTTTCGCAATTCATGTTTGAATTGCAAGGATTGAAGTCGGTTGATGGGGAGGATCCACCAAAGATTCTACATTTGAATCCTCGACTAAAAGGAGATTGGAGCCGTCGGCCAGTCATTGAGCACAATACATGCTATAGGATGCAATGGGGGGCAGCTCAGAGATGTGATGGTTTACCGTCCAAGAAAGATGATGACTTGCTTGGTAAGATTTATCATGCTCTAAATGGCTTCCACCTTCTGTTTTTCTACTTCCCTTTGGTTTCCTTTGCAACCTTCACCAACTGTATCATAGGTGTAAAAGTTAATGAGAATATATGTGATTGACGGTACAGTGTAAAAATTTAACAAAAATAGATAAATATATGTACAGTTTTATATAGGAAAATAATTGCTGACTTTGTTTTTGGTATAAAATGATAATGATTTTAGAAGAATAATCTTTGTATGGATTCTAATAAACAAGAGGAGGGACATGATTTCCTGAATATAAAAGAGGGGTGGCTTTCGTAGTTGTTAAGTTAGCTATGCATTTATAGGATTGACAAGCGAGCTCACTCTTTATTCATTTATATTTTCATATTTTGGTATGATGTTAATTTCAAGCTGATTTTTGCTGAATAATACTGTGTGCTTTTATTGTGGGAAGTATGTCTGCTGTTGCATGGTCATTAGAAACTATGCAGTTGTTTATGATGCAGCTTAACTTGTGTCTTTTCTTTCCTTTTCTCCTTGGAGCTCTCCTAATTCCAATTTGAGTGTAACAGTTTCTTGATGCATATGTTTGGCAGTTGATGGACATGTAAGGTGTGAGAAGTGGATGCGGAATGATATTGTAGACTCAAAAGACTCCAAAACAGCCTCTTGGTTCAAACGATTTATAGGGCGTGAGCAGAAACCAGAAGTTACCTGGCCATTTCCTTTTTCTGAGGGTCGACTCTTTATCCTGACGGTGCGAGCTGGTATTGATGGATTCCATATTAGTGTTGGGGGATGGCATGTGACTTCTTTCCCTTATCGAACGGTATGTTGCTGATGATGAGTAAGAAGAGATGCTTACCCTGTAACAGTTCTTTTTAATGGGTCTAATTGATGTTGATCTATCGGACGACTAGTTTTCCAGTTCTTAAACCACTCTGTATGACTGGATAAACAGTTTTATTTCTTTCAGGGCTTTATCCTTTATACTTTGTCTATTCTAGGTGTCGCCCTCCCCTTGCTTTATTTTGGCAGTATTTTTTGTTATCAGAAAGTATTTGCTTTTTGAATAGGCTATCATCATTACCTTAATTTTTTTGTCACTGATAATTTCTATAGCACCCTCTGTACTTCTGCTGGTCAAACTTGAGAATGTGTAGATTTTCTGTTGGGGTGTGTTCTCATAGTCACCCCATCATAATGGTCATATCTTTTGTTCAATTTGGTACCTGAAAATGTATGAGCTTCAGTATCTTCTGAATTCTGAAATGTGGGTTTTCTTAGGTCATCTTACTTGGGAGATGGGAGTCCCTTTATAGACATTTTCCGATATATATTTGTTGACCTTGGCGCCCTTTTAAATGTCTTATTAGTCACTTGTTTTTGAGTGCTTTGACCTATTCTTGTATAGTCTGCTTGTGGACAGCTCCTTCACCTTTTTGTGAATCTTTATATATATGAATATGTTTTAGTCCGTATCTTATAAAAAAATGATATCTCAATATGTGGTGTTTTAAATCTTACTCTATCTTTTTTATTCTGTTGAGCTGGAAATTACCTTTTCTGATCTTACTTTCTACTCTGCCTTCAGGGATTTACACTTGAAGATGCAACTGGTCTAGCAATTAAAGGAGATTTGGATGTTCATTCAGTTTATGCAACCAATCTTCCAGCCTCTCATCCAAGTTTCTCACCTCAAAGAGTTCTGGAAATGTCACCGAAGTGGAAAGCGGATCCTTTACCTAAAACTCCTCTTCATCTCTTTATCGGTGTTCTGTCTGCTACTAATCACTTTGCAGAACGCATGGCAATTAGGAAAACTTGGATGCAGTCTTCAGCAATCAAACATTCAAATGTTGCTGCCCGTTTCTTTGTTGCACTGGTATGAATTTCTTCTTATTAAGAATCAAACATGGTTAGATTCCAAAGTTGATGAATACCAGGATCAATTGAGGTTGAAACTATCATTTATCCACATTTATAGTGATGTCTTGATTCTGATAGCAAAGATTTGTTCATGGAGATGGAGATAGAGATATTGATATCAGTACACTGATTTAAAAGTACACCGAAAAGATAGTAGTGAAGCTTGATTTCTGCTAGATCTATGGGTAATCCATTGTAAAAAGGTGCATGCATGACAATATTGTGATGTCTAGTGTACATAAAGTGCTTTCTTGTAATAGTACATAAGCTAAATACATTCTGAAAACTAGTATATGAATTGCTATTGTAGCACAACCTCGTATTCTGGGTGAAAAAACAAAGTGAATTTTTCGCCAAACTGTATGATCAAAACGTTACATAGGCATGATATGTCATTCAACCTTAAATCAATAAATCATCTTTACTGATATAAAATTGGAAAAGTTAAGTTTTTTTTATCCCAATTCTGGCATTGAGATTAAATCAGTAACCTCACTTGAATAAAATGATCGTTTCAAACATAACTACATAAGGGGCCATTGTTTCTAATTACAGTATTTTTTCCATCTGGATAGAGACCATGATGTCAGGTTGCATAGTTATCTCTACTTCACTCTCGTCCTTCATGTCCTTAACTTTCAATTCTCCTTGATATTGTATCACCCTAAAAGTGAAAGCAATCTATCATTCTGGGGACAAACAATAGGCCCCTGTGGTGACAAAAATTTATTACTACTGTTATAGCTGGATTGACCGCAATTGTATCACTTTTTTACTAATTTAGTGCTAAGTTTATAGTTTCTTATCTAAAAGAATGAAAAGGAAAAAGAGAACAATGACATATGTACTAACATGGATTGTGTTAAACATCATTTCCATTAACTCATAAAAGCAACTTGTAGAATCCAAGAAAGGAGGTGAATGCCATGCTGAAGAAGGAAGCTGCATACTTTGGTGACATTATCATATTGCCTTTTATGGATCGATATGAACTTGTGGTTCTTAAAACCATTGCCATTTGTGAGTTTGGGGTGAGTCTAATTTTTATGTTTAGTCTTTATTAATTGCACCTCTTTTAAGTGTCTTTCTTTTATACTCTTTTCATTATTATTTTTAACTCTGGATTATATTGTTCTGCTCTGTGCTGAGTTTGAATTATAGTTGTTGAATTGCATGATTCTCCCATGCAGATTCAGAATGTGACAGCTGCATACATCATGAAATGTGATGATGACACGTTTGTTAGGGTGGATACTGTCTTGAAAGAAATTGATGGCATCTCTCGAAAGAGGTCCCTTTATATGGGCAATCTCAACCTCTTACATCGTCCTTTGCGAAATGGGAAATGGGCAGTCACTTACGAGGTATGCAAGTCTGCATGCTTTTTTGTAAATTCGACTTTACCTGTTACAGTCCATCATTTGTTTGCTCCTTTATACAATGTCTTTGTCTTCTTTCTATGTGGATGATACTAATTATGAAACATACATCCAACAGTGCATAAATATCAACAATTTTGCCCTCTAGGATCATAAAGCGCTAGTAATTTCTGACCCTATATATTTACAAATTGTGCAAAGTTGTGTTGAAACTGATTATACAGAAGTGCAAGTTTAAGCTCTTGAAATTCAATAGTCCTTTGCCAACTTCTTTGTCATACATGTAGTGTTTAAGTAGCACTAATTACACTGTAATGTTGTTTGAATCAGTAACTCTGTCAAGATCTGCTAGCGCTGGTTTTTATAAGTACAATCCTCGAGATAAGTAGCATTAGTTACATTTCTAGCCTTACTTGAAGCAATCGCTTTTAGGATTTGTTATTGTCTTCATTATGTAAGAGGGTATTCTCAGAAGAATTAGGTACACTTTTTGTATCACTTGAATCCTTTCTCTCTTTGCTTCACTGATGCTACTTTCCCTATGCCATTTCAACCGTTAAGTGGTTTCCAAACAATTCATGAAAAATCATGGATTTAGGAAGAAGCATAGAGGAGCACCATTTCCATTTTTTTATCATGGCTCCGATCAATGTCTTCAATATCAATAATTCACACTTAAACAGACTATATCATGAATGGGGTTTCGGACTGTCATAACTTGTCCGTTTATTTTTGGTTGCTTTCATCAGAGTCCTGTAAGTTTTGATGCATTGGGATGCTTGGCAGTAGGATTATATAAGAGTTATGAAAATTAATTTTGTTAGAAGTTTTGTCCAAGATGGTTTTCGTGATGGTTATTATTTGGCTTTCCTTGTTGGGTGCATAGAACTTAAAGAGGGTGTTTCTATCATGTTCGTGTTTGTCATATTTCCTCTGTGCGCTTCCTCATCTCAAAGATTGTTGTCTAATAATGTTACAGGAGTGGCCAGAAGAAGTATACCCTCCCTATGCCAATGGGCCTGGATACGTTATTTCCAGTGATATTGCCAAGTTTATCGTGTCCAAACACGGCAATCAGAGCCTAAGGGTAGGTAACACCAAGTGTTTTTATTATCTAAATCCTTTCATTTGGTTGTGTTTCGATAAAGTAGTTTTTGTTTTGGTGGCAGCTGTTCAAGATGGAGGATGTGAGTATGGGAATGTGGGTTGAACAATTTAATAGTACGAAGCCTGTACAATACTCACACAACTGGAAGTTTTGTCAATATGGATGCATGGAAGGTTATTACACTGCTCATTACCAATCGCCGAGGCAGATGATATGTCTATGGGACAAGTTGGTTCGAGGTCGGGCACAATGCTGCAACTTCAGATGACAAGGCAAGTCTTTATTGCTTAATTCATTGTGACCATAATTCCTATATTTTTCCCCTTGATGAATGAAAATATTGGATCTGGAAATGGGTGTTTTGGGGGATACTGACACACGTTCATTTTTGCCACTAGTAGTAGTATTCTTTAGATTGAGGAAGTATAATTGTATATGCAAATGCTTATCACACATTTGGAAATATCAAATTTTAGTGGATGCAAATGCTTAGAAGCTTCCTCATTCTTGTGTTATTTGCTTCTATGTTTCAATTTATATAAGCACATCAAAGATTTTTGCTATTTCATTTATTAATTTATTAAATAAAGGAAGAATCTTATGGACAATCAAACTGAGAATGAATAAGAAAGGAGATTGGGCCCAGTTGTCCATTGTTAATGTTTCCACTTTCCACATGTTTGATGGATTATATCTTCAATTATTTTTTAATAATACTACACCAACAATCATTTTTCACTAACTTTCTCTCATAACCTTGATGTGACAGTTCGCAATTGATTAATTTACAACGGGTCTTACATGGATCCTATATGGGGATCCTATATGGGTTTTATTAATTAATTACAAGTTATCACATAAAAATTGTGAGAAATAGTGGTTGGTGTACTATTAATTTATTTTATCAACTTACTCAACTTTAAAACATCAATAATTTATGATATATAGTCAAACTTTAAGTGTCCTTTTGATATTGTATTATTTATTATTCAACTTCTTCTTTTTTTAATTCTTTTTGGGCTTTTCTAATTAATTAGTGTTATAATAAAACTCTTTTTTTGGCACTTAAAAGTAGTTTCTATATTTACAGAACCAAAGAGTTTTTATTTGATTAAGTTACCATTGGGATCATTCCAAAGTAAAGTTGGAAAGCATTTGAAAGCAATTCCTTTTGGTATATATTCCAAGTGATGTTGTTGTCATATCTTTGATTCACATTCTCCAATCTTATACAATCTCAACAAATTTCTTACTATAAAATTCTCAGCATAACCATTAATTATCAATATAGTTTTTGTACAACATATAGTCTATCAGAACAAGTTTTCCGAGTAATGTTATAGACTCTATAAAATTCTCAATATAGTTTTTGTACAACATATAGTTTATCAAACAAGTTTCCCGAGTAATGTTAGATTTATAATGTTTTTTCATCATCTTTGATGTAGTAGTTTATTACTGGGTAACTCGCAAATAGATAGAGAGACTTATACAAGCAAGCAAGATTTATTTTATGAGATAGTCGACAATAAACTGTCAGCTCTATAGATGGGAGAGAAAATTATATGATTAGATTATACGGTAGTATTACGTCAAACTTCCCTGTTATTCACGTTAATGCATTATACTTCAACTAACATTCTTAACCGCCAATGCATATCTTTAAAGCTGGGACCCACACCCCTCTTCTTTCACAATTATCAACCACCCACGTGCTTATAGGTCCTACATCTACGTTGGATCAACTTATCCGTCCTCCTGTCGGCACCACCTTGATCCTGCCACGTTGCATCTCGGCATGGAATGATGACACCTGGTAGATTAGACTGAGGGAAAATCTGAGTCTTGGCTGTGACTGAGATGATATTGTTTGGTGGAGGAAAGTATAAACTTTACTTTTCTTTTTGTTTCCTTCAAAGCTCGAACCAAACTAAACAATACTATTCAATATTCACGACGCCCCCTCAACCCCTCAGGTCTTACTTTTAGTCACTTACACCCCAATGCTGTAAGAAATTACTCTCACCTCCCTTCACAACTTTTGTTGACAACAAAGGTTCATATGAAACATAATATTACATGTGTGTCCTTGTTAACCTTCAAAAGATTGAAATTACCATTGACCTTAAGAACTTACTCATTTGGGTTAACATAATATTACATGTGTCCCTTGTTAACCTCAAAAGTTGAAATTACCATTGACTCTTAAGAACTTACTCATTTGGGTTAAACTAATATTACATGTGTGCCCTTGTTAACCTCAAAAGATTGAAATTACCATTGACTCTTAAGAACTTCTCTTTGGGTTACCCACAAAGATGATCAATAGCTCTTTAAATGGTGAAATTGGCTCCATTCGATAAATTTGAAGGATTGCTTTGAAGCCGATGGTGGGGCCACTGTGACTTGTTGACATTTCCAACGAAATTCTATCCTTATTCATTTGTAAATGTTGCAGTACAGTTTCAGTGGTGAAAGTAGCATTGATCAATAGATCGGAAGTAACATAATCGTCAGTTGCCTTGCAAGTTCTGGATGTTCCCTATAATTCAACGCATCAACTTTTATCTAATCATAATTTTCACCAATAATGGTACTACTTGATCTTGCAACATGGATGATGGCATGAAGGCACTCCTAATTGTGGGTAGATGAATTGTGACAAGAAGTATAATGAACCACCACTAGGTGGTTCAATAGCAAAAATTCAAAGAAGGATCTGAGTTTACATGATTTTTCGAGTTTGAATTCTATAGTTTTTATAGAGGTGACCAATGAGCTTGTACTCAATCGATAGTTCTAGGGTTTTGAAAAATTAGTTGAGATATCAAATTAACTCGGATACCCCTGGTCATCACCCAAAAAAAAATGTAGCAAAGCACCATGACTTGTAGTAATGCAATACAATGCTTGTATTTCTTATGGATGCTTTAGACTTTGTATTTTGTCACATTTAACCCTGGTCAATGTCATTTGACCGTCACTTAAGGCTCTAAGGGAGGCTTTAGACAAATTCTTAAATGCAAAGAGGTTAGGCTGAAACTCAGACCTCAGGAGAGCGGAGGTAGTAACCCTATTTTATATTAAAAAAAAAAAAAAAAAAACAAAAAAAATATTGTGTTAAAGATTGGTTGTGGACTGGTGGTGGCGTGTGCAATACTTATGGGGGACATTGGGTATTTGAAAGATAGTATGCTAGCTTTAGAGACATATAAAGAGTTATAAAGAGTTAAATTTAGTCCTGTAAATCTATGATTGTCGCTTCATACAAATACATACAAGCCATGTGGCGGATCTATACTACTACGAGTGAACTCTCTCTATCCCTTTGTAATGAAGAATTTCCAATGCCTGTGGTGTGCCAGTCTGGCATGGAATTCTGGAAGGCATGGACTTAGATAGCATGTGTTTGCTTTATTGAGGCATATGTGGGATGTTCGAAGACTATCAAGAAGCCCTTTCTCTCTCTCTCTTTTTTTTTTTAAGGTCTAAATTTAACTCTTTGTATGATTCTTTTATGTATTTTTGTAAGCTAGTATTACCCGTGAAGAAGATTTAACACATAACGGTATTTGTCCAGGTGAAGATTGTATTGAGGTGGGTAGTAACTGGATTGAATCATAGTTAGGGGGGGTCCAGGGGACGAATTCATTTAATAGAATGACGTGCGTTTTCAGAATCACATATACATTTTCTTTGTTGGATAAGGATAAGGTGTGCTTATTACAAAACTTAAATTGCATTTTTATTTGCCTATAAACTTTTCATTAATTGCAATCAACCATTAAAAAAAATAATAAAACTTGTAATAGTATGAAATCTGGTAAGTTTTTCTCTCCTACAAATTTTTCATTTATTCATTAATAATTTCTCACATGTGTATGACAACATGCATGCATTGTCGTTTCAATTTTTCTGTTATAATCAAAAATTATATAACAGTCCACATGTTATTTAGAAATAATTTATCAATTATAGAAGGGTAATAGGACCAAATTATGTTAATAAATTAATTCATTTTATGTGGAATAAAGGTACCAAAAAAAATATAATAAAGGAAAATAAATACAATTGTCCCACCCCAGGCTTAATCTAACCGCTAAGATTAGAATTTAAAACACATTCGTTGAATTCATGTATTAATAAACGACATACGTTGAATACGCGCAGATTATACGTTTTTTTTACCTCCACGTGAACTGCAAAAATTGAATTTGATGGATCTCACGTTCTTTTTGTCGTTCACATTCCGTTACTTTTGCATTAATATCCTTACTCTTTCATTAAATATACAAATACTTTAAAAATATTATAGAATGTCTCTTGTTTGAGAGTCTTTAAATTTATCAAAAATATCATTTTATAATAAATCAAATAAAACATTATAAATGTGATAACTTAATATAAAAATAATCATTAATATAGTTTCTAAACCTGGATAATGGGTATCTAAAAATGGGATGTAAAATGGAAATAGTAATTCTATAAGTAGATAAAATGTTTCCGTCATCGACAATTGCAACATTATTGTCCTGAACAGTTACAAAGTCCTGTTAACATTAAATTAAAAAACTTTAAAATAAAAAATGTGGCTTGTATTAAAAAAACTATTTATTAAGTTCACTCACTTTAGCTGAGGTTTTTGGACAACCCTGAAGTTTAGCGAATCCATCGAAAACCCATAATTTTCGAAATAAAAAAATATACCCTTATGATTGACAGATATTTGAGAAAAAAAAAAAGTTAATTCTACTAAAATCTTAGGTAATGATTAATATACCTTATTTTGTCTATTTTAAGTTTTGTGATAGGGTTTCTGTTCAGAAATATATTGGATTATAAGGGTGTAAGTGTTAAATTCTAAAACTCAGGGGTATTTGAGAAAACCTCCACTTTATCCCTCAATCTCATCACCTTTTCTCTGTCTCCCACTCTCCCTTAAAATCCGCTCTCTTTCTCACTTTGAAAAACTCCGAAAAAAATAAAATCAGAACAAAGAAATAGGAAAAAAAAAATACAGCAAATAAATAATCAAACACTTGAGATATTTTCCTGCGCGTTTCTTCAGTGTTGGCATTGTCACATTTAAAGCACAACCGGGCCACTCCAATTCATTTGTTCATTTGTTTTAAATCCCCGTAACCATTACCATTTTAATTTACCTCTTCAATGTCTCCTCAACGGCTACTTTGACTGCTCTTTCCATACAAATAACTCAAAGCTAAGCAGCAAAGCAAAGCCACTGAGCAGAGAGCTGAAGGAGAGAGATGGATTTCAGTTCGTTCTTGACGTCCTTGGGGACTTCCTTTATATTTTCGTATTGATGCTCCTTTTCACGTGGCTCTCCAGGAAACAGGAAACGTCGTCGTTTATTCCCAATCGGATCTTGAAGGTTTGGATCCTGGGAGGTTTCCGCTTCCCGAATCCCTTCGCTTGGATCCGGGAGTCATGTCTTCTTCCGAGCAAGATGTTATTGACATATCTGGCTTTGACACTGCTGTCTACTTTGTTTTTTTGAGCACTGGTTTGTCTCCTCTCTCTCTCTCTCTCTCTCTTTTAAAT